CCATGGTGTGCAGACCACAAGTGCTACAGTGTTTAATCAGGAGTGCACCAACAGGGATGCAGTCCCATTCCTGGTTTCAGCTAGCTCCTCCTGCTGCTCTATTAACAACTAGGGGAGACAATAGGGAACAAAGAAATAGCCCTGTTGTGTAGAAAGCAGTTGAAGAAACATGTTTGATGTCAAAGGGAGAGCTCTTAAACAGAAATTCCCATTGCCCCCCTCTCCCCCCTGTCTTTATCAATAGCCAGATTACATGTGGCTGTTAGAATTCTGGCAGGATCATGTCCTTGGTCTCCTTTTTGGATACATACCAGTTGGTAGGTACAGCTCTGACAGTACGGAAAGGGCAGTGAGTGCAGATGGTCAGAAAACATTCAGTTTCAAGCCCTAGGTCAGTGTCAGGAGCTTGCGTTGCCTTCTCTGCTGAGGCATTGGCATCAAGATAGACTCCTGAGGCTCACTCATTTTGGACATTTCATTCTGGTCTGCCATGAAGCAGGTTCAGTTTGTTAATGCCTAGCAGAAATGTGACTCCCTGGATGTGACAGATCTTCCATTTGTCTTACTGAAGCCCCTCTTCAACATGCTGGGGATGTATTCCTGTAACCCTGCTTCGTGCCCAGCACTCCCTGCACACTACAATGGCGTGGTGATGGCCCCAGTGTGGGGAAGGGCTAACTCTGGGGCCAAGCTCTCCTCAGGTTCTTCAGGCCATGTGCAGGGAACTTCACAGTTATCCCACATTAGGTTCTTGTTGCATCACAAGCTACCTTCCTCCCCTTTCTCAATTTCTGAGCCCACCAGGCAAATCTATTTTTTGTCTTCATCCCATTTCCCCACAAACATGCAAGCCAAAAGCATACCAGCTCCTCCTACCTCTCTTGACCTGACTGACAATTTCCCAGGCACAGGGGCTGACTCTGTGATCAGACTCTGGGAATGTTTTGCAGTATACTCATCCTGCATGGCAGAAGAAAAAGCATTTGAATGCCACTGTATATTGGGACTGAGTGTAAGTAGACTCACTGGAAGTGATACAGTTTCTCCTGCCCACAATTCATAGTTTATTTTATAGTTATAGAGAAAGAGAATTTGGAAAATTCCCTTTAAAGGGGACTAAATGCATGAAAAAATTATGAAGTGTTATTTTGCCAAAATAATTTCTGGTTAATAGTATAATACATGTTTTTTTTCTACCCTGAATTTTGACAGTCCCTGTCACTGCTTTTACTGCCTTTTTCCCTTACTCTCTATTTCCCTTTAGAGCTCCAGGCTATTAACCTGTAATTTTGTAGCCTTCCTGGGTGTCACCTAGCACTGATTTGGAATGTGGAGCAGTTTAGCTATTCATTCAGATCTGTATGGGGAAAAGACTGGCCAGCTGGCACCCACATCACTACACTTCAACCAGCTCTGCAGCTGCATCTCCTTTTTTAAGACCCTTTCCTTCTGCCAGATTTTATTTGTCAAATGATGGGTTTACTTGCATTACTCTAGTGTGAGAAAGACAAAAGGAAGGGTAAAAATAGGCTTAAATCCCATGTAAAGAAGTCATGAGACAAGTCATGTGCCCAGTACATTAGTCAGTCCCACAATATGTGGATTGAGCCTTCTGAGGTAGATTCAGAAATCATTTCGGCACTTCATAAATTGCATTATGCACTATTTAAATATAGAAAAAACAAGCCTAGAAGAGTTGTCCCACATATGTCCATGCCTTACAGTAACTGCATTATTTAAGAAATAATTGCATATATAACAACAAAGAAAAGGAAGAAATTAACACATAATGACGAACTGACAGGCCAAAAGAGGTTTAGAACTTTGAGAGGACTGTTAAGCTAGGCTAGGAAGTCAGGCCAAAGAGCTGTGAGCATCCCTGGCACCTGACTCTGCTGTGTACAAGCAGAGCCTGAGAGCAGCACGTTCAGAAAACCCCTGTGCCCTGCCTGTCCTTCTGGGCAATGAAGAGCTCAAACAAGATCAGGTCTCAAAAGATGCTGAGCTCTGACATCTCTCACAGACAGTAGGGGCAGCTTGGTGGAGTGTCTGGGATGTTGGTACTGCCAAGTCCTCTGATGATTAATTTTGTTTTTTCCAAGTGCTCCCAGATGGTAGCTCCCATCTCTGGCCACTGGCAGCCTGGATCCCTGTTCGCCACCCTTCTTCTCATTGCTGCCTGGCCTCGGGAGAGAAGCCTTCCCAACTCGTGATCAGCCCGGTGCAACCACAGTCCCTCTTAGCTGCTGCTGATTTTTCTTTGGCCATTTCTGACAATGTCTGGAGTGAGTTTGCTAGTAAGCAAACCCTGCACCTGCATCCTTCTCAGATTCATTCTCTGTGTTGCCACCAGTGAGTCACAGGTTCATTTGCTTTTTCTCTTCTGTAAATGAAGAGTTCACAGCCACCTCCTAGATCCTGTATGTTTCTCACACCTACACACTAAAAGTACAGCTGCTTCGCATCAAAACATCTCCAGCAGGAATGGTGCCACTTGTAAGACCTGGGTTCTTGATTTATATTGCTTATAAACAGGAGAATCCTGTGTCCTGTTTGCAGGGCTGTCCCGGTGTTGTGAGAAAGCCCTGCAGAGCCTGTGGTTGCCCTGTGCTGCCACATCACCCTTATGTGACCTCACCTGCACCTTCTGACTCCTAAGGGTGACATTCAGGGCCAGAAACCCCATTGTTCTGGGATCCAGTCAGCTCACAATAACTGAGAATAGCTATGGTTTTGGCTGTAGACCTTCCCCCTTTCCCCCCAGATGTATCAGTCACTCCAGGCCGCTGCTAAGTGTTCTTGTCTCCTTTAAGTTCATGTTCCAGTTTGTACAATTTCATGATAAAGTCAGACTGTGGCAGTTATAGTGTTAAATGAGATGAAGATAGGAATGTATTCACCTTTTTAGTCTGGAACAGATTCAGACTTCCCAACTGCCAAATTCCCAGTATGTTCAGTAATAAAGCATGGTGTGTAAACATGTCAGCACTTAATGGGGCCTTGAATCAAGCACTCACTCATTCCACCAACTACTGTTGGTGCAAGTAGTGGTTCAGTACTTATTATTTTACATTTCTTTTACTGAGGACTTTGTGACTTTTCCTAAGGTGCTAAAACAAAAACTGCAATAGAAGAGGCTTTCTGATAAAGGTTGAGCAGAAATAATTAATACACTTAGAAATATTTTTATTTCCCTAAGAATAAATTAATTTTTGTGGCTTTATTCCCTTAGGTTCTACATAGACCTCTCAAATAGTCCAGCCATTAGAGAGTGTGGAAGGGCTATATTTGGATAAAAAACAAAATACCACAAAACCCAGTGGAAGGCTTGACCCTGAAGCAGGTGACCATTGTCAGCTTTGATTTTATTGCCAAAATTTGTAAATATTTTTCTAGTGTCGGACAAACAACTGTGGCTATTTGGCCACAGCTACTTGCTTGTTTGTAGCACCAGCTAACATTCTTCTCTGATTTCAGTCTGTTTATTCTGATGTGGGTTGGGTCTGAAGATCTTTTCTTAGATCTTTCCCTTTAAGGAACAGGCTGGTTTTAATGACCCAGTCATGAGCTCCTAATGTTGCAGAACCTTCCTCTGGAGAACACCCTCCATTCCCTGACTAGAAACCAATGATAGATTGGTTACTGCAACAGGAGATGGGAGACCACAGTCCAGTGCTTTGCCAGAGACATCTGTGGGATTTGAGACAAGTCCCTCTTCTATGGTCTGTGGTGTTTTAAAATGGGGATTTGAAAAAGAGTGGTAAGATTATTATTTATATATATTATAACATCATCTCAGATCATAGCTGTGGACACTCATTGTGCTAATTACTAATGGGAAAAATGGGTCTTAATGTCTTCACAAAGCAGCTGAAAGAACCAATCAGGTTCTGGAAGAATGACTGTGGGGATTTTAGGAGAAATGGGTGTTAATGTCTTAGAAATGGGCCTTAATGTCTTCATGAATATCAAGTTGCATTTTTTGCAGAATCCAGATAATTTGAGCTTCTAAACCTTAGGGCAATGTGTAGTAGGTGGTTCAGGAAGTCTGTACCTTCCTAGTGCCTCAGCTAATGGGGAAAGGAAGAGGGCAACCTGCAGCCAGGAGTTTCGGATAAAAGGAGGCTGCATCCTCCAAAAATTTGAGAGACCCCACGGGAGTATGGCCTAGTGGACTCTATCCCTTTACTCAAATAAAGTTGCAAGATTCCTGTCTCTTTTGTGGACACTGGCTTTTCACAATGTGGTTTTCTGCACATCAGCAAGTATTTAATTTAATTATGACCCATGAGACGGCAGCTGGTCACCATGAAGGGGACAGTTTGGCAGCACTCATCAGTGCAAAAGGCAGGGATAATATGAATCTTGACTTCATTGCAGGTACTCAGAGTTTGGAAGAAGGCTACTGAAATTACAAGTTAGAAATGTGTATTTGGTGTAAAAAAACTGTAGTGTGCTCAGCTCAACTTGTTTGCCTTCAGATGTTGAAAACATTTGATTGTGGAGCGAAGCAAACATTGAAATTCTGGACTTCAACCAGGACTTCGCTTTTCATATACAACTGTCTAGTTTCAGCATGTGATGGATCTCAACTTGCAAACACCAGAGTACTCACAGCCAGGTGAAGACTTTGAAGATTTTGCAAACCTCTGATGACCTCTCAGCAGCACCTAGTGAGGGCACACTCCTGCTCTGCTGACTCCCTCACCCCATCGCCACTGCTGCATAGAAGTTGTGCTTTGCAAAACCTTAGCTATTATGAGTGCTGTTTGAAAAGCCTGTGTAACATCTAGAACAAATGGGGCTTCCCAGAGGACAAAAAATACTGGAAATTTTCCTGTTTGTATTTCTGGAGAACAGGAGGTGAAAATTTTTGTTTGAAACCACAAATTTCAGGGTGGCAGAGGCATAAAGCAACCTTCACTCATCCCAGGGTCACAGCTTCTGACCCCTTCAGGAAGTGCACGGCGGGCGGGCCCCTCCGCAGGCCCTGGGCCCCGGCTGCGCTCCTGCCCTACAGCGGGGCCGGCAGGGCCCCACCCCGGCCGGGGCCGTCCCACCACGGGCCGCGGCCTCCCGGGAGCGGGCGGCCCTGCAGCGGCGCTTGGGGAGGGCCAGGCCCGAGCCGGCTGCGAGTCCCGGGGGCCCGACGCGGTGAGTGCCCGGGCACGCCGGGCGCTGGCGAGCCCGCGCCGTGAGGCCGTAGCTGAGGCGGGGCCGGCGCGGCGGCGGGGCCGGGCTGGGGGCGGTGGAGGCCGGGCCGGGCGGCATGATCGGCACCGTGCTCTGCTACGTGCTGCTGCCGGCGGCGCGGCTCCTCCAGGCCCTCCGAGGTAACCCGGCCCCGGGCGGGCGGCGGCGGGGGCAGGGGGAGCTGCCGGGGATGGGCCGGAGGGGCGGGGATGTCCCTCGCCATCCCCCGCCCCAGCCTGAGGGGGGTGCGGCCCGGCGGCCGGGGTCGGCGCGGCTGCTCCGGAGCTCCCGAGGCCTTGGCCCTAGGCAGATGGAGCGTGGGACTGCCGGGCCGGGCCAGGCCGGGGCTGCTGGCCCCGGGCAGCGCGGGGAGCTGCGTGTTTGGAGGGAACAGCTGCCGGCTGTTGTGCTGCAGAGGCAGAATGCGCTTTGCGCAGGGGCTCCAGCTCCTGCCCCAGCCTGCTCTCCAGTCTTGGCGAGATCCTTGGAGATGGGCAGCTCAGAGATCTGTGATCCCCCAAGGACCTGCGGGTGACTTCGTGGATGGGCTTGTTTCGTGTGCATTGCTATTTCACTTAGTTTCCCTAGATCCTGCTGTTATTTCTCAGTCCCTGATTACTGAGCTCATGTAAAGCCACCCTCCAGTCTGAACCTGTCCCTGGGCCTGTAGCAACTACTGGACTGGCACACTGTTTTCATAGTGAGCAGCGAGCTGACTCCTCTTAAATTCAGCTCCTATTGTGTATTAACAGGCTCTTATAGTCACTCAGCTTGCCTGGCCAGTGGCGTGTGGAAACATTACCTTGGTGTGTTGGTGTTTCTGACATTATTGAACTTAATTACAAACTGACAGAGAGGAGTATGGCTCTTAAAGCTCCATTTCCGAGACATACAGAAAACTTTGACACAAAAATTATAGTAAAACTGTACATGAATGTTGCTGACTCCTCTATGTTATTGTTCTGGCTCACTGATAGGGATGCAGAAAAAAAAGTGATTTGTAATCAACAGAAATTGCTAGTTAACAGTAGGGATGAGTGTCTGTGCAGAATTCATAGCAAAGCGTAAATGCCATCTCTTGTATAGATGCAAGTGAAAAGAATCTCTTTCTTCTTTACCACACAAATATTAGTGTATTCAATGTTACATTAAAAACAGTTTAATGTGGTTTTACTTTTTTGCCACGTCAGTCATCAGGTGATCTGTAATTCTTACCAGGATTTCTTCTGTGCATACACTCTCTCTGATGAGGCATATGTTGGTCCCTATGTGTCTTCATTTTTCATCTCTTAGTAACAGAATGGTTTTTCTTCTACAGCACATTCTTGTGATATATTTTATTCTTTTAGCTGACTACTATTTCTTGCTCAGTCCCTATAAAGAAACTTGCTCCAAATGATGATCTACAAGACCTTGGCTTCTTAGCCCGTGCACCTGATCAGCTAACTTAGAGACTGCCTTTACGTATGTTGCTGAGAGCTGATAGTTACCACAAGGCCTTTCAGCTTGGCTGACTCTTTGTGCTGCTGCATGAGTTAGAATTGCATTCTCTAGATTTGATAAAGCCATTGCTATTGTTTGCAGTTTCAGTGACTTGGATTAATATAACTGGATTTGGACTGTGGTTTAGCATTCTGGAGGAGGCAGGGGAAGTTATTTAGACTGTAACTGTTTTTCCTCAGAGAAGTAATTTGTTTGGGTTGCTACACTGAATGGTATTGCACAGTTACAGCAAATGCGTTGGAATAAGAAAATAATGAGTAAGAAAGCATTTCTGGCTGTTTTATTTTGATTTTGTTTTTAAATGACAGATGCTTTCTTTACCTATCGAAAGAATGTGCTTCTGGCGAAGAGCCCGTCCACCCAGATAGAAGGTGTCTTTGCTGCAACCAGAGGAAGATCAGCTCCAGAAGAGCAAGAAGCCCTTCTCCAGCAGTGGCTGGAGGAAGGAGTAGGGAATTTGCCAGCCAGTGAGAGTGTTCCAACAGTCAGGAAGGTATCAGTTACACTCACTAGTGACTGGTTAGAAGGTTCACAGCTATTGATGACCAGCCTCAGTGATCTGAACACATCTCCAGAAGTCACCCGGTGTGCTGATCAGCAGCACTCAGAGCTAAATGCCTTGGCTTCTTCAGAACTGCAAGATCATGCAGTGGCAGAACTGGCAAGATTACCATCAGAGGAAACAGTGACTGTAGCAGGCAGTGCCCCTTGGGCAGCTGTGGTGCCACAGGCAGATCACCAGACAGCTGGCTGTGCTGGTATCAACGTGGAAGTGCTGAATGATGACCCAGCTGTGCTGGCCTGGAGTTTAGCATGTGATGCAGAGACAGTGCCACCAGTGCTCCCAGCCCAGCCCATTCAGGATGCGGTGCCATTTTATCCTGTCTCAACGGAGGTGCCCTACCATGGTCAGTGATGGCTCTGAATCTAATGTTTAGTTTGGGATTGGCATTTGTGGTGAATGTGGTCAGGTTATTGTGTCAGGGCTTGCTGTCAGCAAGACATTGATTGCCTGTGCAGGGTCGACAGGATCTGCTAGTGAAAACTGTAAAGTGAGTTTTTGCTGAGGAGGGGCTGGTCACAGCTAGTGGTTTCTGTGCCGTGAGACTGTCTGGTCTGAATATCAATGTATGTTCCTTACTGTTCTCAAATGCTGGCTTTGTACTCTAAGAAGCATTGAAAAGTGGGTCTGGTGTTTCAGGATGCTTACTCTGGTCATGTGTTATGCCATCCCTACAGACAACTATCCAAAGATATCCAGAAAGAGCATCTGAAAACCTGAGTGGGTGCGGGTTTGCTCAGAGGCTAGAGTGCCCTAGCTTAGGAAATGAGAATGGCTGTTCTCTAGGTCCCAGGGGAACCAAAGTATCAGCAAGGTACCCAGTGTGGCTGTAACTTTGCTTTTTGTCTCTTGCATATAGAGATCTTATGGAGAGACTGGGAGGATCTTTCTGTCCAGCCCTGTGTCTTAGAGCAGGTCTCAAAAAACACTCCCCTCTTTGAATTTCGAGTCATGTCTTACAACATCCTTGCCCAGGACCTGGTGGAGCAGGGCCTTGATCTCTATGTACACTGCCATCCAGACATCCTGAACTGGAACTACCGCCTTCCAAACCTTTTGCAGGAGATCCAGCATTGGGATCCTGACGTAAGTATGACTAAGTTCTCTGTACATCAGTGTCACCTGGTTTGATTCCTTGTTTGATGTAACAGTATTAAGAAAAGAAAAAGATGGGGGCAAGTCCTAGGAAGATACTACCTGCTTGGTAACTGGACACTAATTGGTCTGAGAGTGATTGAGGACTTTCACAGACCATGTTTTTGGTGTCTGTCTTGCTTTGATTGTAGAAACTAGTCATACTTCGATAGCAGGGCTTAACTTTTATAAACAGCAGAAGTAGAGAAGAAAGACCAGTGTTCTAGGGTAGCACAGGAGGGGAACCCTGCATAGAAGAGGACTCCATGAATTTCTCTATTCTTTAAATCCTCTTTGTGGGATGAAGGATCTTTTATCTCATCACTGGAAAACTGAATGATAGGCTACTGTGACCTAGAAAGTTAGTTCTTTTCATCTGGAAAGTACAGGACAGAGTTATGGTGGTGACATTTCTGTTGGGAGGGTTGGCATGTGAATGCACTTTTCCACTTTCTTCCTTCCCCAAAACAAGGTAACTAGCAAATACTTGTGGAGCAAGTGAGGTCTCTGCCTTCCTTCCAGGTTCTGTGTCTCCAGGAGGTGCAAGAGAACCATTACTGGGAGCAACTGGAACCAACATTCAAGGAGATGGGTATGTCCAGCTTTTGTGGGTCTGTACATCCAGCTCATGGGACTGGCCAAGTGGTGCTTCCTGCTTAACGTCTTCAAAGCACTCAGTTTCAAGAGACCTCTTCCTGTTTGCCAGGTGGCTGCTGGCCCTACTTCTGAACTATCTGCCTAGACCTTTATCCTTTCTTTTGAAATTGATGTCTCTGAGTTGAAAGATCAGAGTAACAAAACAGAGGGCCCTAGGAGGACAAGGAGAGAGAAAATGCCCCCAGTAATTAATAATAAAGGGTGGTTATTGGAAAAGAATTGGGTATATTCCTGGACCCAAAGGTAGTAGGAGCCTTTTCTATACAGACTTGCTGAGCCTGAGGTAGTGACTGGATGGACCTTTTAATAGGTGATGGTTTCTTTTCAGGCTTTGCTTGCTTCTATAAGCGGAGAACCGGGACGAAGACAGATGGATGTGCAGTGTGCTATAAGCGCAGCAGGTTCCAGCTGATCAGTCTCAGCCCCATAGAATACTTCCGGCCTGGCCTGGACGTCCTCAACCGCGATAATGTGGGCTTGGTGCTGCTGCTGCAGCCTGTGCTCCCAGAAGGTCTGGGTCTGGAGGCAGTCAGTCCTTTGTGTGTGGCCAACACTCATGTGTTGTTCAATCCCCGTCGAGGAGACATCAAACTGGCCCAGGTGGCCTTGCTGCTAGCAGAGATTGACAAAATTGCAAGAACTACTGAAGGCAGCTACTATCCTGTCATCTTGTGTGGAGACCTGAACTCTGTACCTGATTCTCCACTCTACAAATTCATCCGGAATGGTGAACTTTCCTACCATGGGATGCCAGCCTGGAAGGTAGTTGCCAGCCAGAATTGGGATTGGATAGCTCTTTATTGTCTGCTGCTAGAGAAATGCATGGCTGCATTTTTCCTCTTGTGAGGAAATGGTCTTAATACTGGATTAAATTATTCAGCAGTCTTCCCCAATGTGTCCAGCACTGCAGGGGAAAGAAGTGGACGAGTGTGTGAATGTTGTTTCCATCACTGCTCTTTTGGTTTCTCTTGGGGCACACTTGTGATAATGTATCTCTTAATATCAAGTCTTTTTTTTCCTTTCCTATGGAATTTTTGTGCCTGTGTGACTGGAAGTGTAGGGAAATGCAACTCCACCAAGACTTACTGAAATTTTTTGTGGATGTTTGTTCTAAAAAAAAGTTTAAAGTGGGTACTTATGCTAGAGTCTCTTGTGGTTGTCATACTGTGTGTCTGTGATCAAATATATGGTTGTCATTCAAGCTAAATCATCACTTCAATGAGATACCTATAAAGTATTTTGTCAGGTGACTTTTAGCTAATTGGATCTGTCCCCTACAGCTGAAGGTTTATTATACCTTTACCAAACTCTGAATAGCTTAGTTCATGCTTTTCTAAGAGGGCATTCTGTCTTACTCTTGGCAAGTGTATATAGGTACATTGTCTATAGCTTGCACATTTGCTCTCTGTCACTGATGGCTGCTCTCCTTTTCTGGCCTTCTTGCAGGTGTCTGGTCAGGAAGACTTTTCCCAGCAATTGTATTCACGGAAGCTGCTGGCCCCACTGTGGCCAAGCTCACTGGGTGTAACAGACAAGTGCCAGTATGTCACCCTGTGCCAGCCAAAGAAACCTGGTGAGCTACAGTATGCACTGACAGTATGAGTTTGCTGAGGATGGGCAGTTTGTCTGCCTTGCTGTCTCTCTGAGTAGCTTGGGCATGTGCCGCATAAGGCACTTGACAAAGATTCTCTCCTTCTACTTTGTAGATGAATTAAATACAATTTTTTTCCAGAGCCTATTGCATTTCTGCCATTTTCTTTCTCTGGTCAGGAGCTGAATGTTCCTCTACCAGTAACACTTGCTCTATGTGTCTCTTTCACATTCCCAGACTTACGCTTTTGTGCAGTTGTGAACTATGTTCAACAGGCACTGCTTTAATCTCCGGGTGTTTGGGGTGTGGTTTTGGATAGTATTTGCAAACCCTGTAAAGAAATCATTCCTAAGACTCAGTTAGAATAATGTCTGTTCTCTGCATCCATAGTGAGGATTAATAAATGGAGCCCATGCCAAATATCTTTTGTTAAAATCTTGAATGTAGCACTTGGATTCAGCCTGATCTCCAGAAATGTTTTTCTCACAGACATTTCCTGGAGTTGCACACCAACTGATCTGCGTGAAAGTCCCTTGAACTTTTGGTGTCTCAGAGAGGACATTCTTACTTTGTGCTGACGATGACTGTTGCACAGCAATAGCTGTGCTCTGTTCTTCTACTTTTACACATCTGTTCTACATATTGGTTATTAGGTGATTTTTATTCTCATGGTATCAGAACGCTTGGGCACAAAAGACTCTCTCAAACTAAAGATCTCTAAGAGACCCAAAGGTCTAAAATATAGGTAGGTGTTCCCTGGGGGTGTGACTTTGCTGCAGTTACTTTCTTCTTTTAATTTGTACTTTTCTCTGCAGGGAGACGTGAATACAGCCGTGACTTCCTGCTGCAGTTCCGCTTTTGCGATGTTGCCTGTGAACGACCACCGCAGCTGGTCCTCCTGGAAGGTGTGACAGATGCTAAACCAGGTATTAATAGGAGACTTTTCAACTTGTCAGTCTCGTAGCTCAGTGGAGCCTCTCCTCTGAGGACAGACTGAGAGACTTTGGACTGGAGAAGAGAAGGCTCCACTGAGGCCTCATTGTGGCCTTCCAGTACTTAAAGTAGGCTTATAAAAAATGAGGGAGAGTCACTATTTACACAGGCATATAGTGATGGGACAAGGGATTTTAAACTTCCTAAAAGGTTTTAAACTTCCTAAAATTCTTTACATAGAGGGTAGTAAGGCATTGGGCCAGGTTGCCTGGAGTAGTTGTGGATGCCACATCCCTGGAAAATGTTCAAGGCCAGGTTTTATGGGGCCATGGGCAGCCTGATATAGTGGGTGACATCCTTGCCCATGGGATGGAGGGATGGAACTAGATGATCTTTAAGGCCTCTTCCAACCCAGGCCATTCTATAACTGTATGATTCTATGATTTCAAGGAAAACATAAAGTGAAGGTAATGCCTGGTGAGGAAAGGTAAAGGCAGAAGGGTGCTTTCTGTGACCATGATTAGATTCCAGGAGAGCTCAGAGAAGTACAGTTTCCTCTCTCATACACACTTACTGTGTTCCTTGAGATGCACTGACATTCAGCTTCTTGAAGCTGTTTCTTATAAACTTCCTTTAAGCTGAAACAGATACATATATTTCTTTTTTCTGCTTCAAGATTTTGGTGGTGGAGAACAGCCTGAAGACTGTAATGATACGTGGTGGTCCCAATATAGATGTCTCTGGAAGATGGTCTGGGCTTTGTGGCATGGCTGATTCTGCTTTTTCTGTTCTGCCTTTCTAGACAACCTTTGAGTAAGCTGTAGGCTAAGACAAGCAAACTTTCTTTTGAGAGCAAAGGTTGAAATACCCTGGAGTTTGGTAATATTGAATGCTTTAAGGACATGTCCTCAGCAGGACAGAATATGACTTCTCAGTTGTTTGCACTGATCTGCTCTAGGGATGTTCCTGTTAGCCTTACAGCTTGTGTTTCCTTTGGATATTTTCTTTGACGATGTTCATGACTGGAAGCTCTCTGCTCTTCTTGGGCAAAAAGATTCATTTGGTTTCAGGACAAGCTTCTCAGACTTGGGATGAGCAGCCTGTTCTGGGATCTGTGTAGGTCTGGCTGGAATCTCTTTGCTCCTTTGCAGACCGCCCTGCACACTGGCCCAAGCCTGCTGCCATGGTGAAAGACCCTGATCCCCAGCCATTCATCCCAAGGTAACTTGGTGCACCTTCAATGGCCATAGTCTTCAAACTCAGCCTTGTTTCCCTGAGCCCTGAGAATCTGGCTGAAATAAAGACTGAAGTAAATGTGAAAGAGAGTAAGGAGGGCTATCTGGAAGAGCTAGGTAAGGAGGGCTATCTGGAAGAGCTAAGGTCCACCCAGGATTGTCTCAGCAGCTGGGTGCTGTTCTGTCAGCATTGTGTTGGTGAGACTGAGAATGAAGGGCATAGGCAGATACAGGACTGGGTATTGAAGACAAAGTAAATTCACAGTCTGTCTTGCTTTGGTGTATGTGGAGCGAATAGTTCTGAAAGATTTTATGTGCTCATAAAGTAGGAGTAGTTTAGACAGCTGCATCAGCAAGGGGACATTCAGCTGTGACTGCAGTACTGAAAAGGTATAATTCTCTTTCCTTTCTTGGTAAATGGTGACTGTTTGTGTGCAGGTGTTCAGGTGTTATCCAGCATGGCCTCAACCTGACCTCTGTCTACAGCCACTTCTTGCCACAGAGGGGACGCCCAGAGGTCACAACAATGCCCATGGGGCTTGGAGCTACTGTTGATTACATTTTCTACTCAGCAGAGCCTGTGGAGAGCAAGGCGGGTGAGTGTGGCAGTGCAGGGCTTATCCCCGTGACATTGAAGAGGACTGTGAGGCAGGCCAGATGCATTTCCTTAAGCTGGTGGATCTGCGGGATGTCTTTGAAATAATACAAAGGTGGAAGTAACATTTGCTCATGTACCATGAGAAGACACTGTTTATCTTTGCTGTGAAAAAAATGAGGCTGCTTATGTTCATGTAGACTTTTGAGGAATCTAGAACAGAATATATTCTTTTCTTACTTGTGTCCTGGTAACAGGCAGTGCTGGGTCCTGAGTTCAAGGCTTGGACTTCTGGTCAGTCTGAGACCACCTGCTGTTCTTGGAAGGAGATGACTCTGATTCTTTTACAGTGGCACCTCTTCTCTGCTGCCTGAAACAGGAGTTCTGTTGATGAACAACTGCATGTAAATGCATCCAGGAACTCTCTTGGAGCTGATTTGGGGAATCATGTTTGGGGAAGAGGTCAGAATCATGTTTGGGGAACAGGTTAGGAATGAAGAGATTAATTCCTCCTCAGGGGAGAATCTGAAGTTATTGCTAGGCCACAGTTCAAGAAAGGAACTTCTCATGTAAGCAACTACCTGGTGAATTTAGTGTATTCTTGCTTCCTATGTCTGCAAGTATATGAAACCATGAACAGGAGTATTGTAGGGTGCTCACTGTTTTTACATCTAGGCTCAAAGGTGCATGTAGTGTTTGTGAAGGCTGTCTTCATTTTTCAGGGAAAGAACAGAAAAGGATTGACAAGCATTCCTCTGTGAGCGTGTAGACTTAATCTGCGGTGCCAGTCTCTGGCTGATGTTTCTTCCCATTTTCTTTGTCAGGTCGCAGGCTGTACAAGGATGGAGCCCTGAAGCTGCTTGGCCGTCTTTCTCTTCTCTCTGAAGATGTCCTCTTGATGGCAAATGGCTTACCAAATCCTTTTTGTTCATCTGATCATCTCTGCCTACTGGCTAGCTTTGGCTTGGAGATCTCCAGCCTCAGAGAGAGTTAGTGTTGGTTCTCTTTCCCTAAAGAAAAGTTGTTCTGAAAACAGCAATTGAGACTCTGGATTGCACAACCTGCTTGCAAGAAAACCCTTTTCCTTGTCATGTCCTAAAAGTCCTTTTCTCCCCTCACACCCTCACTAAACGCAGGGATGGGAGAGTTGGAGTGCTTTTTGCATTGGTATTTTCTGCATCTCTGCAAACCTGAGCTGTGTTCCCAATGGGCTGCCAGGTGTATTCAGGCATTAGCATCTCTTTAAGAGACCTTGTTCCACTGCCGTGGTTGGCAGGTGTTTTTGTGCTGCAGGAACCAACGTAATGCCCATGTTTATTTGTCCCTTTGTAAGATTTTCAAGGAGCTGGAAAAGAGAGGGGCAATGCTATCTGCTTTTGGTTAGTTTAATTGCTACCAAGGAGCATGGGATGTATATGCCAATATTCTTTCACACCAAAACAAATTCTTTTAGTTCTTTTCTTGGTAATAATTCAGTACTTTCAGGGCTAGTTGTTGCATTGCCTTTTAGATTGGATCTGCTAACTGCTTAGAAATGTCTTTTACTTCATAATCTGTAAGGGAGACAGGAGGGACAGGAGGATTTGTGTGGTGTAACAGTTTCTACAAGAAACTTCTTACTGTGACTAATGGACCAGGGAATGGGATTGCCAGGAATGGAACAAGGGGTTCTGCAGAGCCACTCACAGCAGCTCTAGAACTGCAGCAATAGCCTAGAGGCCTTGGGGAAGGCTTCCTTCCTTTCTAGCAGTCTCAGAATGGTACCTAATTTGTCATTTTTAGCAAAAATATTTAGGATCCTCCCAGTGAATATTCTGTGGAAAAAAATTACCCTGTAAGGAATGATAACCCCAGAGATGAAAATGGAAGGCATGTGAGAGTCAGCAGAGCCATCAGATGGAAGAGCTGATCTTGTCACTTGCCCTGTTCTTTGTGCACTCCGTATTGCATTCAACCTGCCAGGGGTCAGTAGCCAGCCAGTATCCATCTCTTGTGCCAGACTGAAGTCCATGCTGCATCCTTCTTCTGCACCCAGCCATGTTTAGGTGTAGGTAGAACCTTTAGGATCAACTCCTGTCTCTTGACATGTGTTGGGAGGAAGGGGAAGGCTGTGTAACTTGGAGCCAGACTGCAGTCACTTGGATCCCAGCATACTTTTGGTGTCCTATCAGTGTGCTCTTGTAAGCAGTGGCTTGGCCAGTACAAAAGCAATCAAGCTGTACCTGTTCCTAGAGTAAATTCCCCAGTTCAACCTGACATTTGGTGCTCAGTTTTCCCTAAGAGATGAAACCAATCTTGACAGAAACCAATATTGGCAGAAACATTATCAGTCTTCTGTTCACAAACAAGGCAGAAAATCTGGTCCCACCTCTGGCTTTTGTAGGAAGGTACAGGAGACTTGAAACATTGTTTGTTCTTCATGATCTAGATTGAGCGACTTTGATATTTTAAATGTTACTTTCTTTATTGAAAAATAAAACACTGCTAATCTAAGAAAATACCACAAAGTAACTGTGGCACTTGTATTTCTGGCTGCTGAACCTCTGAAGACTTGATCGACAAGGGTTTGCTGGCTGCAAGGTGAAAGAGGGTGATAGGCTACACAAGAAAGTAATGAGGCTTGAAGAGAGGGAAGAAATGAGCCTAATTTAATGTCCCAAGACATCCCTAAATCCCAGAGGGGTCTTCTTTGGCATTGGGTTTGTCTTGCCCCTCCATCCCCCACCTCCCCCTCGGAAAGATTTACATTCAGGAACCCTTGTCCTCCTCCCTAAGAAAGGAATGCTCCTGATGTTTTACAGCTCACTTCTGTAAACTACAAGGTGTGTGAGGGGGAGAGAGTTGTGTTCTGTGCTCTTGTGAGCATATAAGGACTGCAGATTCCCCTCTTGCCCTGCCAGATGGTGTGGTATTTGTCTGGTGATGTGTGGATGGCCTTTGCTACCATTTGTGAGTTTCTGTAAGTGAACAGCAGTCTTGAGGGGGGTATGAATAATTTTGCCTTTAGGTAATAGTTCTGGCATGGCACTGGTACATGGGGAGGGATGGATGCAGAGGTTTGCATTTATATGACTGTTTATCTCACAGTTCGACTGATTTCTGCAAGTACTCTTACTCTGATTTTGTGTTTATAAAGGGAGGGAGAGAAAGGGTAAACTGAGAGCTTTGCTTTCTATCTGGCTCAAAAAGCTTGCCAGAAGGCAGCCTGGTTGCAGATGACTCCCTCCTGCTGTTAACATTGTAATAGGAACCTTAGAAGACCTAAAGGTTTAACAACAACCAACCAAAACCACCATAAAAAATTCTGTGACACATAGTGTTGGCACTTAGAACTTCAGCTATCTGCTTCTATTGTAATTGCTGCCTGAGTCTGAGGTCAGTTGGTGAGGAGGTGTGTGTGAGAGTGTGTGTGTATGTGAAAGCTGCCCATAAGAGAGCCAGACTGAGCTCTCTTGAGACCCATAAGGTGTGTACCATACACCAGCCAATGAACTGGTTGGCTGTGCACTGCCTGAAGCACCCTGCCAGTCCTGTGATGTAACTCAAGTGAAGGACCTGTGTTCCAGTATCACAAGTGCTTTTTCCATTTTATATAAACCAAAACCTTGACTTGTAGGCAAATTGCATGGAAGCATTTCAGGGAGGTTTTAAGGTTCCGGCTATACTTTGCTGGAAAATCTAATGTTGCACAGGTCAAACTAGTGGTTTCCCTTTCCATGCATGAAATAATGTGGTACACACTTGGAACTGTTAAGTTTTTGAACACTGGATATCGAGTCATGTGCAGAGAAACCCCAGGACAATGCCTACAAGTACCCTTATTCTTCTTTCCGGAGGTTATAGTGTTCCCAGGCTGACTTGCAGCTTTCAAAGCCCTGGCTTACTCATGTTTTGTTGGGCACTCATAGGTGAAACTATGACAGAAATACAGGACCATGGCTAGTGACTGTATAGAGACACAAAGGCAGAGTTCAAAACTTGATCTCTGTGTTTATTTTGACCACTGTCACAGGAGCTCTGGTATGGACTCTTATGGAGGTGGTCTGTTTCAGGAAAATAAAAAACCCTGTATTCCAGAGCAATTTGGAGTTAATATTAAATGGATCTGGAGACCTGTGAATGCCTCTTGACTGTGTGGGATTATAGGAGAGGTTTGGAGGTGGGGTTGGTAAAAAGTTCCTAACTGTAAAATCACGACTTGCATGTAGTTGTTGGGAGAAAAATAATGTGTTTTGTGATGCTTTAAGAATAGCACCCACAGATACAATCAGAGCCTCTGGTAATGAGAATTGTGATGGGATGCAGAACTGAGATTCCAGACGTAGCTCTTAAAACTGTTTCTGGACCTAAATGCATGATGAGTTTTCATTAACACAGCTTTCTGATGAATTACAGAGGGATCTGTAAATGGTTATGAAAGTAGAACAGCAGTATCTGCAATGCTCAGAAAGGGGAGGTGTCACACAGGTAATTACCAGCTACATGACCTTAGTAGTGATGTAGAGTTCAGGGAGACTGGTGCTTAGGGGAACTGATGCCAGAAACCACTGGCAGTGTATGTATGTTCCCTGTTAGCTGCCTCCTAAGCTGCAGGAGCATGCAGCTGTTCAGGCAATCAAGTATTTGACTAAGTATCTTTGCTAAAAAACAGTTTAATTTGCACCACAGCTGCTAGGCTGTATTTAGTTACTCTATTTAGACAAAAGTTGGGCTTCCTTCATTTTCTCAGTTTTAAGTTCATTGCATCAGGAGGTTGCCCTTCATAAACAGTTTTCCCTATTACATGGGATGGGAGGAGTGGTAAACAATATAATTGCTCTAGCTTCTTTCCTGTTCGTAATAAATGAAACTTGGCTGCTGTTTGAGGTCCTTTCTCCATGCCTTTTTCTTATGAGCTATCTCTCCAGCAGCTGTTTTCCCATGACTACTCTATCCACTTATCTTTCTGAGTAACTGATGTTTATTTTTTCTGCAGCTGTATTTCTTCAGTTAAAATTATGGATGCAATTCTCTAGGGCTAAGTGTTATTATAAATGCAACATATAAATGGTGTCAAGATGTAAGATAGTGAGTTTCCTCACCCCTGAAGAATTAAGTGGGAGGAGTGGGAGCTCTGAAACGAACACTTAGAGGAGTAACACTTGTTATATAAAACAAAAAAACTGAGTTTCAGATTTATTGTTAGTGCTCTGTATGCCACCTGATTTGTGAAGGCAGAACTCTGAAATATAATTGACCTTAGTTTGTCTTCTCTGAGGAGTCTCCAAGAGGTCATAAGAAGTTCAGCATCTCAGCGGATCAAGGTATGAGTCTTGCTCTTAACAATGTGTTGATGATGGTGTTGGCAAACAGTCTGCAAAGCAGGGTGTTGCTGCAGTCCAATATCTGCTCCCATTGCCACCACCTCACTGTTGAACATTTATTGGATGTGCTGGTTAGAAATTTGCAGACATATCCATGGGTCATCCAAATGCAGATGAACCCTTTTGTTGCTCACCTAGAGGGGGAGCACATAAGCGTTAGTGGGATACCATCTCCTTTCAGGCTTCCTGTTGTGCAGACTAATTGAATTACTGGCTGTCACCTGCTTCTTACCAGACTGTAACTGCCTGGCTGTAGTGCTTCCCATAGCACTGTCGTGTTCAAATGCACAAGCTGAATTGAATATACTGCATTGTGTTTCTCACTATGGTACTGAGTTTCTGAAGAGAACTCACCTGTTACAATGATAACCAAGATGACAGATTAAACAGCTGGCATGCCTCTAACTCCTTTTGTCAGCTGTAAACGTTTGGCATTTCCTGTCAAGGCAAGTTGTCCTCCTGCTTCTACTGAAAATGTCATTCTAGTCTTGAAGCTATTTTTCTTTTTATTTATTTAAAAAATTACTTATTTTCTTTCAGATTTGGACTGTACATTCTTGAGTTCTTGTATAATAGCTGGAAAATTTTTTGTAACTTTGATAAGACAAACACAGCAGCTTTCAAGGTCCAGGTCTGTCAAATGGGAGGACTAAGCTAGACACTGGCTTGTGCTACAACAAGAGACGTGTTTGTTCCATCCAGTCTTCAATTTCTACACACCAGAAAAAAAATCAAAAACCAAACAACACCAGGAAAAAAAAAAAAAAAAAGACCAAAAAAATCCAACCAAAAAAACACCAAAACCAAAACCCCCCAAAACCCTTGGCTTCGAGCCTTAGCAATTTTATTCAGTTTTTTGTTATTTTCTTTCTGAATGCCAAGCCTTCTACTTATATTTATTCTATATATTCAATTATTGGCCAGTGTCTGGAGCTGCTCTTGAACAGGGAGTAGGTGAATGCAGTAATTATTCTGTAGTTATTCCTCTCCTTCTTTCCTCCCTTAAAATGAGGTTAGAGATAGGATAGCACTCACTCTTTGCCAAAATAAAACTATAATCCAGGAAAACAAACCTGACTGAGTTAACTTAATTCTGTAATGGCCTGCTACCCACAGCATGTCATATGCCTTTGCCTGCCATAATCTTGCAGTGGCTGCATGAGTGCTGCTCTTAAGGCTCAGTCTTGGTCTCTCATGAATGAATTTCTGTGTGCTTTTAGACATGTGAGAGCCTTAAGTCTTGGGCCTCTCAGTGTAAAAACTGACATGGTGTGGTTTTTTGTTTGTTTCTTGGGTTTTTAAAATTTATTTTCTGCTTCAACATGTTCTTTATCCTTCCCACAATAAAGATTTTCCACTTAAGGTCCAAGCAGCATAATCTCTAACTGAATTGCAAACTAAAACTGCAGGAACAACCAGTAGCAGGAGAAAAGCGTGATGTAAGAGGGAGCAGAAAGTCTATGGCCACATCACTGTTTTGCTGTTCTCACTCCACCCTGATCTATACATCCCTAGGGGATATAGGAGTTACCTGATTTAAAGCAAAATCTATAAGGCATGGAGCAGAGGGTGTTTTCAAGCAAGCAGCTGAAGTAGATGTTTAGAACTGTGCAATTACTTTCCCTCAGGGCAGAAGCAGATCATATAATTAACTTGGCTAAGATGGACTATTGCATGTGTCTTTCTCTTTGGAGTAACAAGGCAGAGAATGTTTATTCCTTTCCTATACACACTGTAGGCTTGCCTACATCCTGGCCCTGGTCCCAGCTATTACTCATTTCCCTAGAGAGAAGGGGCATGCTATGCCTGAAAGATGATAGCCTGAATAAAGTTGGATCCCCCTACTGGGGATCCTTGCACTGAATCTTGCAGCTGACTGTCCTTTATTAACCCAGCATTTGTCTTGAGAAGTCCTGGTGAGGTCATTAGTCTGGAAGGTCACTAAACAGACTTTGAGGAGAATTGCTTTTCAGGCCAGGAAGGGAGACTGAATTGTACATTGAAAAGCTGAGCAGTGCAAGAAGAGGTTTGTATTAACCCTGACAGTATTGTTTGGTACAGTATTGTAAGACTGAAATTTTTGATGCTGCCTGCACTGATTTTTTTTTCCCCCATCCAGCCTGACTGATG